TTGTTCTTATCACTAATCTTCCCTTTTAACCTATGTTATTTTTATGAGGATAAAAGTGAAACATCTTCATGTGTGCCATCCTGCGTTAAATGAAAACGGGACACATATAATCAGTATACTGGAATATGGAAACGTAATAAATTACCATGATCTAATCCCAATTTTAAAACATGAAACCCGCTGAATGAGCTGGGCCCAGTCACTCTCTCTCAGCCCTAGGAAGAAGGCAATAGCAAAACAGTTCTGAAAAACTTTGCCCAAAAAATTGCAGGGATTTGTCCAGGCAGCCCAGGAATTAACTTGTGAATATTTAAATTGAACCTGGATTCCTACCATATGGGAAGGAGGGTTTCTGGGATTAATTACACTGGCACCAGATGCAATAGCAAAGAAATGTAGAAGCTCAAGCATCCTTTATTTTTTTCCCTTAAACATCAGAAATAACATATTGCCCAATTGTGGGTATGTCTGCTTTTTCATATCAAGGTACTGGCTGTCCTTGACTTGCAACAATTCATTTAGTGACCGTTGGAAGTTACAACGGCACTGAAAACAAGTGACATGCTTTTTTTCCCCATACTTACCACCATTGCATGGTCACGTGATCAAAATCCAGCCTCTTGGCATCTGACTCCTATCTATGACAGTTGAAATGTCCTGAGGTCATTGATCATCTTTTGCACCGTTCTGACAAGCAAGTCAATGGGGAAGTCAGATGTACTTAACCGTGTTACTAATTTAACACTTCCAATGCAGGGGTGGGATTCCATCAGTTTGGACCAGTTCTACAGAACCGGTTGTTACCATTCTGTGCAGTTTGGAGAACCAGCAAATTGCACCACTGGCTGGCCCCGCCCCTCTCTGCCCACCCCTCCCTGCCCCACCCAGTCACTCCTTATCTTGCATGCCTGCCATCCAACTTGCCTGCATTGTTCAAGCAAATTTTATGTGACAGACTCAGGCAGCAGATTGCAGAAAGGTAGATCTGTGAGTGAATCTGTGATTCTGCAAGCAACTCAATCCGCCTGCCTGCTTTGCCTGCCTTTGGGTAAAAGTTATTCTTTTTTAAACAAAAAATTCAATATTTACATAAATATTTACAATATTTACATACAAACCACGCCCAGCCAGTCACGTGACTACCAAGCCACCCCCCCCACAAATTAGGCCACACCCACAGAACCGGTTGTTAAGACATTTGAATTTCACCCCTGCTCCAGTGATTCACTTAACAACTGGGGCCAGAAATTTCATAAAGTGAGGCAAATCTCAAATGTCTCACTTAACAAAATTTTGGGTTCAATTGTGGTCATAAAGTCAAGGACTACCTGTACTGTGGCTTTTACCATCAATTTATCCTTTAGCATTCATGTTACACTGATCAGTTTGGGACATAATTCAAGATGTGCTTTGGGAGGGGACTGGAATGGACGCAAGGAGATTTATATCTGAGTAAATTTAAAATGAGGATGTTGATCAGTTCCAAACCATACTGACATATGTGAGAGTAAATCCCCCTGAACATAATACACCTTCTGAGAAATGTACCTAAGATTGTTTTCCCCTCATTTCCCAGGATATTTGTAGACTTGACTTTCTCTTCCTGCTCTTCAGTAAATGTCAAAAGATCTGTAAATATTGAGCAGCTAACTTGACTCTTGTTGTATGTGTGCACAGAGATAAAACTTGCAATTTTTAAAATCTAGTTTGCATTTTTTTTAAAAAGATTTGGGGGATATTTTGGAAGAGGGAGATTCTCTATATAAGTAGAAACTGTGTGAAAATAGCTGACAGTTCTTTGCTAGAGCCATCTGCCATGTAGCCATGACATATGTTTGATTTATTTATTCAGGACTGAAGTGTAAATTTATACATTGAAGTAATGTTTGGCTTTAGCGATTAGTGAGTATCTGAACAAGAAGTACATGCCTGCATACACTTTCCTAAACCTGATAAAATTTTCAAAGGAATGGTCATGTACAGAAAATCCTATCCACTTTCCTCACACATGTGCAACAACCAACAGAAAGATTATGAAGTTGGTTTCATCCAGCTCTTTGTATACTTGGCATGGTTCACTCTCAACTCCACCTAATTCAAAGGAAATTCCTCTGTATCAGTGATGACTAACCTTTTTGGCATCAAGTGCCCAAAGCACGTGCATGTGTGGAAACCCCCAAACTGCAATGCATGTGTGTCCCCCATGCATGCGCCCCGGTCCCTGAAGACCAGAAACCCGAAGACCAGCTGCCTGACCGGAGGCGCATGCACATGGGTGGCAAAGCTGAGCTGGGGAGACGGCTCATTTTATTTTTTATTTTATTTTATTTATTTCATTTGTCAATTGCTTACAAGATAACAGGTATAAGTATAAACATGGTTTTGAATACATGAAATGGATATGAATAAGAAAAAAAAAAGAAACAATAGGACAGGGACGGTAGGCACATTGGTGCACTTATGCACGTTCCCTACAGGCCTCTTAGGAAGGGGGTGAGGTCAATAGTAGACAGGTTAAGGTTAAAGTTTTTGGGGTTTGGGAAAGAAACCACAGAGTCAGGTAGAGTATTCCAGACATTGACCACTCTGTTGCTGAAGTCGTATTTCCTGCAATCAAGTTTGGTGCGATTAACCTTGAGTTTGTATCTATTGTGTGCTCTTGTGTTGTTATGATTGAACCTGAAGGTTGAACTATTGATAGGTAAGTCATTGCAATGTATGATTTTATATACTATACTTAGATTGGACCGAAGGCGGCATAGTTCTAGGTTTTCTAGCTCTAGAATTTCAAGTCTGGTGGCATAAGGTATTCTGCAATGGGTAGAGGAGTGGAGAACTCTTCTTGTGAAATATTTCTGGACTTTCTCAACTGTGCTAATATCAGATACGTAATGTGGGTTCCAGACTGATGAGCTGTATTTGAGTATTGGTCTAGCAAAAGTTTTGTATGCTCTAGTTAGTAGTGTCATATTACTTGAGAAATGTGCCCACAGAGAGGGCTCTGTGTGCCACCTCTGGCATGTGTGCCAGAGGTTTGCCATGATGGCTCTATGTTCATGAGGACCAGCAACTTCAGTACCCTTGAGCTTGTTGTTCTCCATATTGTTGGATAGTGAGGGGAATGATGGCAGGAGGGACGGTACAGGAATTTAAGTAACATGGTTAAAAGCCATCTTTTGGGCAGCATAATTAAATTAATGTGTTTAAGGCTGCAGCCCTACCCAAAATGCTGCCACTCTTATCCTAATCATGAAACTAGGGATAAATGTGATAGTGAAAGAGGTGTCCCCTTTCGGTTTCACAATAGGGATTAACTTGCCTTGTTTCCTTCTGCTATCATTGTTATGGAAACTTGGGGGGAAAAGTGTGCTACAGCCAGCTACTGCAGCAAGGACGCCATCGTTTACGTTGATATAGCTCGTAAGATAAAGGGGGCTATGCATACCTTTGCTCTTGGATGGATAATTTAACTGCCTGTGACATTTCTCCAATCCTTGATAGCAACAGTCAATTCAAGTCAGCGGGGGTGTTGCCTTTGAAACAGCTCACGCCTCAAGAACACCACGCTTGCCCCTGCTCTCACTCCGCTACAAGCCCCGGCCAAGGGGCTTTTTCTCACAGAGATCAGCGGCTTCGCTCCCTTGCGCACCTGGAAACGCGCGCAGGCTGCCCGTTAAAAAAGGGTGCCTGGAAGAAGTTTCCTTCCTTGGCAAACGGGAAAGGCAGAGGGACGCGCTCAGTAGCACCCCCCGCCCCCCCCAAAAAAAGAGCGAAAGGGAGGCGCCTTCCCGTAAAAAGCGCTCGCTTGCTGGGAAGGGTCTACACAAGGACGAGGGTCGAGGACCACCAGGCGAGACGGTCCTGAGCGCGAACCAATTTCTCCCAACCCAACGGCTCCTTTGGCTTATGACTAAAGCTTCATTGAGATTTATTTATTTATTTATTTATATTTATTTATTTTTGTCAATTGCTTACAAGATAATAGGCATAAGTAAAATCTCTGCGTGTCTCTCTCCCCCCCCCCCCCCCCTCTGATTTATAACATCGCCTCTCCTCCCCAGGCCGATTGACACCAAAGCTCCCGCTCGCGAACGATCGCGGCTTCTTGCTTCTTTTGATGGCGACTGGGTGAAACCTAACCGAGCGGAGGAAAACAAAAAACAAAACAACTTTTGCGGGGACGGGGAGCGAGAGCTGTCGCCTCGGGACTTGACTCCCGGAGAAGCAAGGGCGGTTTTGGCTGTGCGCAGGAGCTGCACCTGCCCGAGCGCTTTCTCCAGCGGGATCGAGAGCCGACCGGCCGTTGCGCGTGGCTCTCCTTCCAAGAGAGGGGGCGGCTGGAGCGCGTCGAGAACGCCGGCGGCGCTACAGAAAAAAAAGCCTTTGGGCTTCGGAAGCTTCGCTGGGGCCGGCCGCTTTTCTGGTGCTTTTCCCCGAGAAACCGAGCTCGGACCCGGCTACTTGGGCGCAGATCCGGAAAGGCTGCAGGTTTGGGGAGGTGGAAAAAGTCCCTCCTTGGGCTAACCCGGCGGCGGCTTGTCGGACGGCAGCTGGACTGGGAAACCAACCTCTGGATCCCTCTTCCTTTCCCCCCTTTCCCTCCGCTTTCTTGGAGTTCCTGCTGGGGGAGACGTTGCCCTCCCCTCCCCCACGAAAAAGGCTACAGTTCCGAATTGCGCTGCCGCGCTTGAAGTGGGAAAGGCTCGCTCTTGTTCTCGCTCGGCTTTTATTGAGAAATCGACCCTTCTGTTTTCCGGGATCCTGGGATGTAAGCTCCTCCGTGTGAGAAAATCTTCGCCTTTCGCTTCGCCTCCCCCCTCCTTTTGCAGAACAGCTGCTCTTGCTTTTACTCCCGGTGGACGGAAGAGAGAGAGAGGGGGGGGAGAGGGAGAGGAGAGGAGAGAAGAGGGTGGGGATTTCTTTCTTTCTTTTTTTTTCCTCCCCCTCTCCCTTGTAAATTCAATGGATATGAACTTGGTGGCTTTGGAACCTTGTTGGTTTGGAATATCTTAGGTGCTGAGATCGCCTTCTGGAGTGACGGAAGCAACTTCTTCATCGGAGAGAAGGATTTGTCGAGGAGCAAGATGACTCTGGCTACCTTTTACATTGTGTTGCCCTTAATGGGTAAGTGCCCGGTGCGTTAGATCTTTGGCATGTGGACTCTGTACAATCTTTCTTGGCTTTGTGAGCTCCAAGCAGTAGCTGATTGCCGACTGATTGTCTTTGAAAGACCCCGGTGGTCTGTCCATTTTAGACCAAGGTTTGCAACGCGGAGAATGGATTTTTTACACTGTAATTCAATGCCTGCTTACTTGGCTGTAGGTCTCGTTGGGATTTAGTTGAGCTTACTTCTGAGTAGAACTTACACAGGGTGGTGCTGTTTGCAAGAGATATGCTGCCTTTTGATTTTAAACTGGAAGTAAGTTGGAAGGAAAACTTTCCAGTAAATTCATCTTTATTGAAGAAAGTGAGAGGGTTGCATTATAAAATGTATAGTTTCATCCTGCCTATTCTGAGTTGTGGCAGTAAAAAGAGTTGTACCTCAAGTCTACTGTGGCTTGCAAATACTGTAGCTATGGGGTGTGTTGGAGTGCACATAGGCCAGTTTGTTTGTTTTTATTGGAAAGGAAATAAACAACTAAAAGATGACCATATTGATTATATCAAGAACTCTGGCGGGAAGAGGAATGTGAAAATCTGGTTGTTTTTAAATCTTTCCAATGGAAGAGATGGAAGCCTAGCTTTTTAAAAAAAGAAGCTGAAGTTTGAAAGATTCCTGCATGTTTAAGAATATTGCTCTCATTTGACCTTTTTCCTGATTGAAGTTAAAATCACAATACTGTCTTTGTGCAAATGAGCATTTAACTTCCTAATGCTGTTGTTAGAGCATGAAGGGGAAGATTCTGTACTTTGAAAGTTAACCTCCATAAATAAAGCCCCCCCCACCCCCCCAAAAAGAAACTTGGGAGGGGGAAATGGCTGTAAAATGGGGGTAATAGACAAGCTGACTATTTTACACAGCTGGTGGACTGATGTGGCAATGACTTTTTAAAAAACATTCAATTTTAAAGAATTTCCTGAAGAGGGAGAGTCATTATTAGCCTTCAGTTTGCCAAATTCTCTTTGGTGTAGTTGCTATCCTGAGAAACGCAACCAAAACCAAGCTCTCCCTGCCTCTCTTCCCCGCCACCCCCACCTCCTTTGCTTCCCTGCAACTATTGTAGTTTTGTGTATGTTCTCTTGGACTGACCTCTCAGAGGTTGACAGGTTCTCTTTTGCTCTCTTTGAATGCAGAAGTGCTCTTCTCGGCTGAAGTGAGTGGGCTGCTTGGAGGAGACCATCTGGATTGTGTGAAAGCCAGCGACCAGTGTCTCAGGGAGCAGAGCTGCAGCACTAAATACAGGACACTGAGGCAGTGTGTAGCTGGCAAAGAGAGCAACTTCAGCCGGGCAGCAGGCCTGGAAGCAAAGGACGAGTGCAAAAGCGCCATGGAGGCACTCAAGCAGAAATCCCTCTATAATTGCCGCTGCAAAAGAGGCATGAAAAGGGAGAAAAACTGTCTGCGTATTTACTGGAGCATGTACCAAAGCTTACAGGGTACGTGGTTGTCATACACAACATCTTTCCCTGCCTCCTTCCTTCCCCAGTGCTAGAAAGGAATGCCCTCTGTCATGCACACACACCCCAGGTCCTCCATCAGCTGACCTTGTAATTTTCTTTGTGCTCTTTGGCTGCAGAGGGAAGGACCACTGATGCCACCCAGCCAGAGCAGCTGTTGTTGGTGTGGTTTCCTATTGTTGAAAACTGAAAAGATTTCCCACAGAAGGGACTCCTCTGACCTTTGTAAACTAAAGTCAAAAGGGGAGTACAGATCTACAAAGCGCTTGAATTAGGAACTACCCCTCTCAGCAAAGACCCTCAGCCATTGTTAATGAAATATAAAGTCGGGAGATTATACAGGCAAATTTTTCACCTGTGAGGTCAGATTGAAGTCACATCTGCCCTAGCCAACCTACCCAAGACATATCTTAACAGCAGCATCCTTTTCTGTAGTGTGTGAGTAGATGAATTGTGGGAAAAGCTTCCTTAATAATATGCTGACATCAAGCCAATGAAAAAATTAAAGTCCTTGTTTCCTGAGGCAATAGGGATCACCAGAATATGGCTCTTATTGAGAATTTAAAGTTCAGCTATGCTATTCTTGTTATTCTATGTCTTACAAGAATGTCTCTTTATATCTGTGGGGTTTAGCTCAATCAATATTTCAGTTGCTTCTAAACAAAATAGTTTAACTTTGCATTATTGACTATAGCTTTCTACTCATCCAAGTATCTTTTTTATTATAAACACATTTTTATTTCTTATATTTATGCTTTATCTATTAGAATCTAAGGGCAGTGGTTTTGGGCTTATGTGATAAGATAGGCTGAGAAAAAACTAGTAGCCAAGCCTAAGGTCTCCATTGCTTCTAGTAAAATGGTGGAATTTTTGTCCCAGGTTGAAGAACGCTATATCTCACGTTTTAAACAGATGGGTTTTTCCCACAGAATTCTGTCAAAACCCGTGCATTTCTCAGAGAATGTCAAATGTAAGATTTTTTTTTTTGAGGAAGAAATTACTGTGATTTTCATAGAAGTATGGATGACTTTTTTCCCATTAGTTTTCTGGCACCCTCTAAACTAAGAAAAATACTTGTTGCACATGCATCAATGCAGTTAGATGTAGATCTAAATCTATTTGGTTTACAAGATAAGTTGACAGCAAAGTACTTTTTTCTCTTAACATCTTTAGAAAATGGTTATTATAAACATACCCCTTCCCGTTTTTTAAAATGTTTTTGACTTTTCTTAGTATTATTTATTTGATTTCTGTACCACCTTTTATTTGGAAGTAAGTACAAAGTACTTATAAAATATAATAATGATTGAACTTCATAGTGATGAGTCCTTGAAGTTTGTTTCCCTATCTTTAACAGCTACAGATATGAAAGAGAAAGATTAAAATTCCTTCAATTGAAGTTTCTATAGGATTGTTACCAAAGAAAAAGAGTTGAAGAAGATGGGTGGATGGGAGGCCAAATAAAAGTTGAAAGTAGTAATAATTGATTTCATTATTGTGTTTGTTGTTGGGAATAGTTTGGAGATCCTAGGAGTGTTGAAGTTTAGAAAATATTTTTGAAAACATTTTAAATTGTTTTTAGGAAATGATTTGCTTGAAGAATCACCTTACGAACCAGTGAACAGCAGGTTAATGGACATATTCAGGCTAGCACCAATTGTATCAGGTAAATGGCTTATGTTTCTTCTACAGAACTGTAGAATGGTCAGAACTGAGCATTTTAAATGAAGGATGTATTTGCTATGATTTTATAGCTTTAATAAGTCTAGTTCTGTAGTTGGACTGAAAAAGTTATAATCAAGACTGCAAAGAAAATGTAACAGTCTATTATTATTAATCCTGCAATTTGATCTTATGCAAGTTTAATCAAAAGCAAAGCCCATTTTATAGGATGTGGCTTAGGCAAATTAAGTTTAGGCCAAAGCTGTAGTGTAAACCCTCTTGGCTTCTGGTCATTGTATTATTATTGTTCCCTATTGTTTTTGCTTTTATAAGACTTGCAGCAAAACATAAGGGTTCTAACATAAATTTATTGGTCTGATAACAATGCTTGATTATTTAAAAACCGATAACCTAAATGAGTGCATATTCCTGTTCAATTACTGTAATATGAAGTGATTACTCAGATGAGTGAAACTAAAAGTACAGCCCAACAATAGCAAGAAACAGCCTATGACATCAATCCAGCTGACAAGTCATAATGTTTTCTGTGAAAGCAGCCTATACATTCATTTGTGACTCAACTGATGTGGTTGCTTATGTGGGAAAAAGTCCTATGTCAGCTGTATTTATGAGAAAAGATGATCTGTGTTCTATTGTTCTTAAATGACATTGTAGTATAAGTGAACTGCAAGACTCATCTAAAAATGCTTTCGATTATGTTCCAGCTCTTTTGCATTGTCTGTGTACCTTCAAAAGGAAAATTTTAAAAGGAGGTGGGGAGTGAGAAACTAAGTATACCTGTAGGTGGCAATCTGATCTTCTGCCTTTAAAATGTACAACACAAGATATTGTTGCTAGTGTAACTGGTTCCGATTTCTTTCATTGACATCAGGCTAAATAAGATGATTCTGTTTCATGTTTAAATGAAGAGGAAATAAGTGGGGAGTTTTTTAAAATACTTAAATGGAAAAATATTTTCTTATTAATTTTTTTTCTTGTGGAGTTAGAAATAAATTTTTGTGGAGTTCATTGAGGTTTACTCCCATACTAGACTTGTTCTTTTGTTCTTTTATTCATTTTGCTTTCATCATTCTGCCACAATTTGTGGACAGTCCACACAATTTGTGGACAATTGGACAATTTGTGTTATTCCAGCGCAAAGTGAAACTGGACCTTATTTGGGCTTCCATATTTAAATGGCATAGATATTTAAAACCTCAGCTTAAATCCAATCAAGAAATGCATGGCACCTTCAAAATCTTGTTTTGTAATTAACTATAACTAGTATATCAGCCAAGCTTGCATGTTTGCACTTTAAACTCGGCTCCTTGGTGAAAAACAGGAGCACCAGCATGCCAGGATAAGTGGCCTGGAGAAGAAATTGTTTTTTTGAAGGCTTTCCAAATAAGTACTATTACTATTTCATCTGAATTGGCTGATGCAAACTTTGCAGCTAAGCTTTTAATGTTCCTTTAAAATCAACTTGAAATCATTTTTTTATCTGCCTTTCAGAGCTAACTTGATTGAATGTAAGCTTTTCTGGCTCAATTGTGATTTCTTCTTTCCTGTATGTTGCTTTCTTTGTTTTGCCATCACTTCAGTTGTTAGTTGTTAGATCTTGTTAAATCTCATAACTTCCTAACCTGCATGATCTATTCATGCAGCTGGAAATATTGTATGTTCTTCTCCTGGTATTCCCATGTATTCAGCAGTAGGATTAGTTCTCAAAAGTACATAGAAGTTTCTTTAATTTAGACAATACTGTGAATATTAATCATTATTCTAATGCACTGAAAGTATTGAACAGCAACAGTTGTCTCCTAATTAAATTCTTACTGTGTTAATTTATTGATCTGCTGTACTCCCCTGTTTCAAGCTCACTGGGTATATAACCAGAAAGATTACTGTGTTTGAAATGTTGGCTTTTTACTAATTTGATTGGTAAACTTGCTTAAGGCAGCAGGGTTTCTATCTGCTTATTTATTTATTTTATTTATTTTATTTATTTGTCAATTGTTTACGAGATAAGTAAAAGTGTATACATAATTATGAATACATGAAATGAGTACATATAAGAAAAATAAAAGAAAAATAAAAGAAACAATAGGACAGGGACGGTAGGCACGTTGGTGCGCTTATGCACGCCCCCTACAGACCTCTTAGGAAAGGGGTGAGGTCAATAGTAGACAGTCTAAGGTTAAAGTTTTTGGGGTTTGGGGAAGAAACTACAGAGTCGGGTAGAGTATTCCAGACATTGACCACTCTGTTGCTAAAGTCGTATTTCCTGCAGTCAAGCTTGGTGCGGTTAACCTTGAGTTTGTATCTGTTGTGTGTTCTTGTGTTGTTATGGTTGAAGCTGAAGTATTCATTGACAGGTAGGACATTGCAATGTATGATTTTATATACCATGCTTAAATCAGACCGAAGACGGCGTAATTCAAGGTTTTCTAGTTCTAGAATTTCAAGTCTGGTGGCATAAGGTATTCTACAACGAGTAGAGGAGTGGAGAACTCTTCTTGTGAAATATTTCTGGACTTTCTCAATTGTGCTAATATCAGATACGTAATGTGGGTTCCAGACTGATGAGCTGTATTCGAGTATTGGTCTAGCAAATGTTTTGTATGCTCTAGTTAGTAGTGTGATATTACCAGAGAAAAAGCTACGTAAGATTAGGTTAACAACTCTTAATGCCTTTTTGGCTATGTAGTTGCAGTGGGCACTAGCACTTAGATCATTAGAGGTGAGTATTCCAAGGTCCTTTACAGAGCTTGGATCATCAACAAGATCTTGACTATTCAGCTTGTATTTTATTTTCGGATTTTTTTTGCCAATATGTAAGACAGAGCATTTATTTGTTGAGATTTGAAGTTGCCATTTGTTTGACCATTCTGATACACAGTCAAGATCTTCTTGAAGGGTAGCAGTATTGTCTGTGGTATTGAACAGCTTTACATCATCAGCGAAAAGAACGCAGTTGCTCTTAATATGATCACAGAGGTCATTTATGTAGAGTATGAAGAGAGTTGGTCCTAGAACACTGCCTTGGGGGACACCACTATTGACAGGTACAGAATTTGATAGGACACTCCCAATTTTGACCATTTGTTGTCTGTTTGACAGGAATGCTTCTATCCAGTTATGCAGTTGTCCAGAGATACCATAGGATTTTATTTTTAGTAGTAGTTTGTCATGTACCACTGAATCAAAGGCTTTACAGAAGTCTATGTAGATTGCATCTATTGTTTTGCCCTGATCAAGTTGTGTAGTCCATATGTTTTTGCAGTGTAAGAGTTGCAGATTACAGGATAGCTTTTTTCTGAAACCAAATTGTTTATTGGAGAGTAGGTTGTTTGTCTCTAAGTGGAGGATGATGGATTGGTTAATAATTGATTCCATGACTTTACAGGTGACGCAGCATAAGGAGATTGGTCTGTAATTTTCAACTAGGCAAGGGTCTCCCTTTTTGAAGATGGGGATGACTGTGGCTTGTGACCATAGGTTAGGCAAGGAACTGGTCCTGAAAGATTTTTCAAAGATTATGCTTAGAGGTTCGGCTATGGTAGTGGATAACTTTTTTAAGAGATAGGCACATATTCCATCCGGTCCAATAGATAGGGATGGTTTTAGATTGCGTAGTGCTTTTTCAACATTGTCTTCTGTAAAATCGATATGTATTAGATCACTGTAGTTATCTGTGGTTCGGCTAGGAAATGCTGGGCATGATCCATTGCTGTTTACAAATACTGAGCCAAAAAATGTGTTAAAGATGTTGGCTTTAATGGTGTCGTCGTTGCAGTCTTTACCATTAGGTCCTATCAGGGGTGGAATGGACCTTGAATCTTTTAGTTTGTTGTTTACAAAATTGTAAAAAGCATTGGTGGAATTGGTGCTTAGAAGGTTTTCCTCTTGTTTAATATGATAATTGGTGCATTCGGTCTTTATTTGGTGGCATAAATTTTTGTATCGGCTTTTGAAATTGGCAACGTGACCAGATTTGTTTTTCCGCCAGAGTGATCTTTTTTTGGATTGAAGTTTCCTTATTGTTATGGGCAATCTGTTTTTTTGTTTTGTTTTGGGAGTAGTTGTTGGTACATATAGTTTGATGACTCTTTTGACTTCAAGTAAAAATATGTTGTAATGGTCTTCAACAGTATTGCATCCATTGAATAGAGATTGCCAATCAAGGGATGAGAGATCGTTGTTTATAAGATCATAGTTGCCTTTTTTGAAATTATAATTGGGGATCACATCATTGTGGTGGTTTTTGTGTGGACGTATGTTGAGACAAAAGTCAATCATATTGTGGTCACTGCTGGAAAAGGGTTCTTTAGTTTGTATTCCGTAAATTAAATTCAAACTATTGCAGAAGATGAGATCGAGGCAGTTGTTTAGTCTAGTGTTGTTGGATACTAACTGTTCCAGTCCCAGATTTGTAACAGCATTGTAAAAGGTTGCATGTATGGTTTCAGTTGTACATTCATTTAGGGTCCAGTCAATATGAGGCAGATTGAAATCACCAAGAAAGATAAAAGGGTATGGGCAGGATGCTGCCCATGTTAGTAGTGTATTTAGCTTGTTTACATGTTCGATGTCATAATCAGGTGCTCTGTAACATAGTAAGAATCGAATTGTGATATTTAAGGATAGTTCACAGATAATGGTCTCAGGAAGAGCAAGCTCCTGGGTAACTTGGATATTTTTTAGATGTAAGGACTTTTTGTAGAAGATAGCAACACCACCTCCTCTACGAATTTCACGATCTGATCGGTAAACATGATAGTCTCTTACTGTGGTAATGGAGTCGGGGAGAGATGCATTGAGCCATGTTTCACAGACACATATAATGTCGAATTTAGCCATATTTAGTAGGAGGAAAAATTCAGGTATTTTATTTACAAGGCTTCTTGCATTGAGTAGCTTGCATTTAAGGCCAGCAGTAGTTGGAGTTGAGGTAGTTAGGGGCGTGCGTGCCTAGTCTTGGGTGATGGTGGATTGGTTGAGGTA